GATGGTGTGCCAGGGGTTTACAACCTCAACGCGGCACAAATCCATTAGTACTTAGCAGTTGTCACATTTCAAGCAACACTCCAGAGCACTCACATTAGAACGTTAATCATCAAAACTGCAACCAATTAAGTCTCTACAACCGACACACACCGGACCTTGCAAACGCGCATCGAGGTGTGTAGATTGTCAGTTCCGATCAGACTGATCCATATTATGAATGGGATTAATTCTGGGCAACGTACGGAGTGATTTCGAATCTCATCCACGCGAATACGTACAGCAAAGATTCAGCAGACAACTCAATGTCGTGAAAGGCGTTGGAGATTCATCACAGGGCACGAATGTTAGTCAGAAATACACAAAATTGAAAATATATGCAAAATGCACTAATGAACTTATATTTCATGCCAATTTTAAATCGAAATTCCCTCCGATACTCGCTTTCACTGAGAAGCGGGGGTCAGTCGGAAAGCTAGCACAAGACGACAGCAACTACCTCGTTCAACGAGAAGCAAGCTGGTGGTGGGTAAATTAATACAGTAACTGATAAATACCCAGCGAGAGGTCGTACAAGCATTTCAAAGTGATAATTTGTTTATACAAAGTGCGTTTTCGGGACAGCCAATTATCGACAGTAACTTACAGTCGGCACTTGGAGTTACACCACGTTATCTTCACAGTCACTTGTTGTCCAAGCCTCAAGAGGCATTGATTAATGAGACAAGATTTTTTGGCATGATGGACTAAAATGGACCGTTATTTGATAAATGGCAAGGCACAGCAAAGCGCTGGGATAAGGATCTTTAGTGTGGCCAAAGTTCGACAGTGACTGCCCGTAATGCAGAGGCCTTCAGCTCATCACTAAAAGGCGAGTTTCCAGCAGTGCATCAACTCCGTGGCTGGTGAAGAGACGAAATAACTGGGGCTTCAAACAAGCTTTCATTTTAACAGTAAAAATGCTAAAAACTAGGATCATAGTTTCAAGTCATCTGTGACGCTCACTGTCGAGAATGCTAAATCTCGATTTTGCAATAATTGTATAAAATTTGTATTTTTCTAGTTATCTTTTGACAAACGTGTAGACGTTTACTTCTTTTTATGCCTTATATCCTTTCGCACGGCACTGTCCTCATGCACTTTCGTCTTCAACAAAGAAAGGTGCTGGGCCGACAGATGTTACGACGGCGCTTATCCCTCGTTTTCTCTTTTTTATCATTCCAACGGAATCGACGACGGAGGGCGGTGGATCGACGACGACGGATGGCTACGCGCGACGAAACGACCAGGCATCATTGCCCTTCCAATATTTTTAAATGCGTGTCATATTCTTGCGTTTACGTGTATTCGCTCGTGTCGCGCATATTTTATGTATATAATAAAGGTCATATTACCCAAGTTTGAGGTAATCGACGATACAACGAGTGGGTCTGCAGCTGGTTAATACTGTACGACGAAACAACGTTAGCTGACCTAAGAATCGAGGTCTGGTGGTATTCACACTGTCTGCTAGCCGCCGAAGTCGGGGAATTTAGCAATATTTGCTGGCAGTATAATTACTCAACTAGCGCGCTCTGGAGATAATTGAGGACACGAACCAGAAATACAATTATTTGTTGTGGGGTAAAGCGACCTGAGGAACCAACAATGCAGTTCCTTCTCCACAACACTCACAAACTTCGAACCAGTTTTCTCTTGAAACTTGAAATATTCGGGATCTATGAATCTAAAATATGGGAACACAAGAACTTCGTAGCAAGTGAAAAAACTGAAAATCTAAGGCTTTTGGAAAAGGGTAACTGAGTAACATGGGTAAGAGCAACGATTAGCTTTAGCTGTTCTCCTGGTGGCAACGCTTGCTTCCTTCAGAAATATATATGTACTCGGCATAACGCGCTGACTCTTTGGCCTTTCCAAGACACTGCAAATAAGCAAGCAGCAAATGGAACATTAACACTGGAAGCGACACATGCAAAAGGAAAATGCACAGATGCCATGCCTCACCCTCAACCTCCTCCGAGAGAGACGACACTCATCCGGCAGTTTATCATAGTGCTTCCACAACTATGCCTTCTTCCACGCTCGCGCAGATCATATCAGTCGGGCAAATAAAGCCAATAGCTCAGCCAGAGCGATATTAATCAAAGCAGCGTCCTTCCTCTTCATTTAGAAGAATGCGAAGTAAATGAAGCGAAGCCGCGAAAAAATTAGATGATCGGTGTTCATTCTGAGAATTTAAAGAGATGCAAAATTCACTAAGAAAATGCGTAGAATTTAACCAAATTTCATTGATCATTGATTGATGATGAAATTGATGAAAACTGGCATTGATCATCTGCGCCATATCAAGTAAAAATAATTGGCCAACGCACGGGCTGCCGTGCGAAGATGCGTTTTTTGCAAGGTTCCCCGCAGTTTTTGTTGCTACCGGCACTGGTTTTTTCGGCAAATGCTTCTAGCTAAACAAATTATGACCGGCCACCAGAACTGTCAGAAAACGTTCCCTTTAAAATTTCAACTTTCTAGCTTCCCTGGCACCTCAGTTAGCAACTTAC